GGGGCAAGCAGAGGCAGACACATGGCATGGCAGCCGCCCCTGCAGTATTTGACCTGCCAAGCCAGCTGCAATCCAGCTGCTCTTTTGACTAGCCAGTAACAATTCTAAATGAAAACACTCATGAGCTCGTGTTTACCTGCCTGCTTAGAGGTGGCATGCTGTTGACTGTGAGTAGGAGCTAGGCAAGGAGCACACTAACTTAAGAATACCTACTCACCAGTGTCATACACAGTGCCTCTTCTATGTAAACCTAGCACGTCTGCACAAATGCAAGCATCACTATACCCATCAGATAGTTTCCTGAAACGTCTGAAAAACACCACCTTGTCATGAGCTTAAGTTACTAAACCTTAGTTACAGTTCTCTACAGCAGTGGTTCTCAAAATGCAATCCAGAGATCTCTGGGTCCCCAAGATCTTTGCAGGGAACCAACGGACCCTCACATTTCCTCACATAATAAAAACATGCTAGAACCCTAAATGTAGACTCCACCGTGAGCCTCTGCCTTCTACTAGGTCACACACTGAAGAACCTTACAAGGGTTAAGGGTATAGCTCAGTGCTGAAGTGCCTGCCCAGCATGTTTGAGGCCCTGGGTTTAATCCTCAACATCAAAAAAAAAAAAGAAAAGTAATTCGCAAAAACATAAAACAATGCCACTGTTACTATTTTGATTTAAAAATATTTTTTCCTAAAAATATTATTTCTACTGTTATGGATTTTTTTAAAAAAATCTTTTATGTATTTATTTGGTACAGGGTCTTGCTTTGCAGCTTGGACTCATACTAATCCTCCTGCCTCAGCCTCCCCAGTGCTGGGATTATAGGTGTGTACCACCATGCCTGGTCTCAGTGGCTGGAATGGCATACCTGGATTCCAGGGCTGGCACGGCATGCAGTATTGGGGACTGAACCCCGATTTTTCCACCTGCCAGGCAGGCACTTAGACCACTGAGCTATCTCCCCAGGATAATGGGTTTAATTTTAATTAAACAATTAATTTTTAATTTTTTCAATTTTAATTTTAAATATACAAGTAATTATCAATAAGTATAATGTACATAATCTTTAGTTCTTGGAGGGCTTCAATATCTTTTTTTAAATGGAAGACAGTATAAGGGAATACTGAGATCAAGAAGTTTGAAAAATCACTGCCTTAAACTAAGATAAAAAGAAAAATGGGGAAATGGAAACAGCATTCACTGCATCAGTGACACAATCCTAGGGGTACTGCTGCAAAGTCACGTCGCGGCACATGAATTTCCCAGCACCTACAAAGGTTGTGTTTACACTGTGCTGGGGTCTGCTGAGTATGCAGTAGCTTTACATCTGCACGGCCCAATTACAAAACACTAGCAAGCATTTGACTTGGAAAAATGGTGCCAGTGGACTTTCTGTGGAGGGTGGCCGCGACCCCTTCACGCAGTAGTAACCAGCACAATATCTACAAAGCACAATGCAAGGTCTGTCTGTCTGTACGTTTTTTCCATCAGGAGACCCACAGTAGCCAGAATACAGGCACACTAACAGTCACATGGATTGTCTACACGGTGATTTTATTTCTCTAATGAGTGTCCTCTGTTCCCTACCATGGGCACATCCGGAAAAGGAGGACTACAGTCTTCAGAGCACCGTTTATTTCCACACGACAGTTTTGTTGTATCTGCAACTTCACCATTAGGCAGGATACCATCTGCAAACCACACTCTCTTCTGCTCTCTGGAGCCTGGTCCTAGAATCAGGGGACAGTAAATCACTTCAGTCTGGCGCACTGCAATGACGTGGTGCCAAGTGGCCAAGAAATGTGCACAGGAGCATCCGGCTATCCAGCGGCAAGGCCTGCACCCTCGGCCACCATGGCCTAGAGAAGAGGGTTTTCGGGACCTGCCACAGTGAGAAGAGGCCTCTTCTAGGAACCGTATACACAGGAGCATGACGGCTAGGCACGGGCTGGGATCCCTCCCACCAACAGCAGGGTGCAGAAGCCACACCTGAAGACCAGGGACTTGGAGGCCGAGTCGGGACTAAGGATTGGAGGCCGAGTAAAAGGCAGAGTGTTGAAAAGTAGAGATCAGAACACAGCAGATGACAGAGAAAGACCAAAAAAGGAAACAGGATCACTTCACATTCAAGATGTGATTTATTTATCAGAGAAATAAAACACATTTTGTTCTTATAATGTGGGTGCAAAACTTCGCACAATTTCATAAGGTATCTTTCTTGAATTTATAACAACTTCATTAATTTAGGTTGTTGATACATTTTTAGACACAAATTCATTCACCTTTACAACTATGATATACAACCATGTATGGTGAACTCATTTCAGTTACAATGAAAAATAGGTACTAAGTGATAAAGTCCAAACTAATGCCAGAGGACCCAAATCTGACTGTAGTTGACATTTATCATTATTTTCTAGCACATGACAGTCTTCAGTCACCCAATAATGTTTAAGTGAGATTCATTTACTCTAAATTAGCAGCAGGTGTTTTTTTAAAAAACTATCATACAACTCAAAGATTTAAAAGTATCTAGATTCAAAGCACATTTTACTATTGTGGTAAAATAAATTTAAAATAACTCAATAAAAAACTGAAAGAAATGAAACAAGCTTTCAACGCTCAGGAGGCACACTGTCTCTAAGCGCCCAGCACCTTCTGCACGCTGCTCCTGGGTGGGCTGAGCTGGGAGGGCGGCTCCCAGCACTGCACCTGCCACTGGCTGGGGTCAGGCCCAGCCCACCAGCAGGCGCAGCAGGGCACAGGCACTCCTAGCACCGCCCACGACACCTTCCCGCCTTCATCCTAAGCCCTGCTTGATCCCAGCCTTGAGACACCCCAACTCCTGCCTTCCGGCCTGAGTGTCAAGCATCTCCTGAGTACGTGGGTCCACGCTCGGGAGTCCTGCCCTCTGGCCTGGCTCTCCACCCCAGGGACGGTGCTGCTTCTCTGGCGCTCGTCTCTGGCACACCTGAGCATGTTCTTTGCTCCTCTCGCCTCCGACACACACACGTACCAATTCCTGGCACCAAGTCCCTCCTGTGACTGAGTCTGTTTTCTCTGTCCTGCCTGGTCCCTAATGCCAGCCGATTCCCATGGGCATGTATTATCTGCCTGCTGTTACCTTCAACGCTTGGCTGTTTCAGTGCTGAGGTGGGCAAAGCTGTAGGTGAAGGCACACTGGTTGGCTGGGTCTCCTGAACAGGCGGGGTGGTGCCACCGTCCCCAGGATGATGAGTCTGAGGGCCTGAGCCAGTGGGACTCATCATCCTTTCAAAGGCCTGAGCTAGATAGGGAAAAGAACAGTGTGAGAATCTCAGCCGGATTTGAAGTTCAAAGTAAACTCTCACAAATATTTTATCTTTTAAGTTGTACAGATAAAGAAACCAGAAGCAGCATGAGGCACAGACACTGTCGGAGTGACCAGCACTGCTCTGGACAGCAGCTGGCAGTGCTGGCTCTGACAGCCACTGCCATGTCATTTCCACAGCACACGCGGCATGCTGTCCAGGCCACTATAGAACAGGACCCTGTTTTGCGCGACTGCTTCTGCTGTGGACCCTGAAGGTCTGTTTCCTGCACCGTGCAGAGTAACTCTTTCAGACACAAACCACTGTCTTGTGGCTGCTTAGTTTAAAATAATGGGACTGAGACCGCGGCTCAGAGGTAGGGCAATGGTCTAGTGTGCAGATGCACCAGCACTGAAAAAAAAAGAGAAGAAAATTCTTGAAGGGCTTCCTAAGGGAAGTGAAAGTTGTTAAAATGGTCCATGAGCCCAACTGAATCAGCCCCTCTGCCTTCTGCTCCTTCCTGATCACTGCTTGCTAGGGCCTGGTGAAGCGTGCTTGCTGTCCAGCCAGAGGGCGCTCCTCCTGCAGGTCCGTGCATAGCTTTCTCCACCTTCGCGCTTCCTGTGCGGCTCTGTACTGCCTGCCTTCCTGCCACACGCCTGATGCCAGCCTCTGCAGTTTAAGCTTCACCAAGGGCAATAGCACCATCTGAGAGTCTCTCACCCACCAACCCCACAGAACAGGGCAGCCTCTCTTGGCTAGGGAGCTCCCTGCCACACTCCCCATGGTGCAAGCCAGTAACAGCTCAAGTAGGGACAGGCTCACATTGGCCAAGGGGACCCAAATGTCTTGTGCTGTAGGTACCAAAGACGTCGCTGACTCACCCCAAATCTACCTAGCAGTATGCACATGCATTCCTCCTTGAAGCTCACACAATCTCAGAACTGTCTCATTAGCCATGCTCTACACAAACAATCCTGCCTGCTGTGCCTTCACGAACAGCGTCACATAGCCTTTGAATCATCCCTTTCTTCTCAGCAGACAACATTACTTGGTCACTTCTTCCATTTTCAACCAGCATAAACTACAAACATTTCCAGAAATGAAACTCTAGCCTATCAAAATAGAATAAACAATTACTACAACTAAACTCATTTTACTTAATAAGCGAAAGTAACCTATCCTGAATCTCTTTAATGACGATGTCCTCTCCCCTCTTGGACACTATAGTCAGGATTTTTTTTTTTTTTTGCTTCCTCAAATGCCTTCAGGGCACTTGTGGCCAGCGGGAGAGTTGTGAGGTTTGAACTCCAGCAACCTGAGGCTGACAGCTTTGTGGAAGCAGCCACTTAAAGGGCTGAGCTAGGGCCAGGCCCCCCAGGATATGTCTTAATGCTCTTCTAAAAGTCTGATCTGTCAACTCCAATAATACATGACATCTCTATGTTCATTATTTTAAGTGGGGGAGACGGTTATCTGGGCGCTGGCTCCAAAACGCCTGAATCCATGCAGATCACCGCGAGCACAGCAGCAGTTCCCGCTGAGCCTACTGACCAGTGCAAAGCCAGACAGCTTCGGGAAGCACTGCACCTAGCCTGCTTCCTGAGCAGCGCTGGCACAACCACAAAGAGCTCTACACTCTGCCATCTTCCGGAGCACACCCACACCAGGGAGGAAAGCAGGTCATTTCGGGCTAGCGGACTCACACCAGAGGTTCTTGGAGAACTGATGAAAATATTTATTTTCATTCAGAAGGAAAACGTTATTAGTGTGAATGTGTCCTGCTGACTAGCGGGAAAGTGCCAAGCAAATAATGCACAGGGCGGGTTACAGAAGAGAAGGCAACATAATGCTTTCAATCGATCTTAGAAAACACAAAAAGTACTTAAAAGAATGTATTGGGGGAAACGCAACATCACACATACACACAGCCTATGAGAACGCAGAGACTCCAGGACTACAGGCTGATAACGCAAGTTAGCTGGGGGCCGGGAACATGATGGGAAGCGACACAGAACACTAACAGTGTGAAGGGACACAGGAAACAGACATGCACTGAGGCGGTGTCCCGTGAGCTCAGAGTCAGACAACTACACCTGATCTTCTCTCGTGCTAGTTTACTTCCATAGGTGGAACCATCACCTCTTGTGCCTTTAATCTACACCACGGAGTAGTGTGTGGGTGGGTACTTCATAAACGTGTAGCCCATGATGCTGATGGTGATGAGGACAATAATGACGACAAAAACAAACAGGCAGACGAGATGCGGCAGGGAGGACTTGGTACCTGTTAAAGGTAATGAACTGCCACTCCAGAAACTGAATGCTTCCTCTGCAGACTGGTAGTGTTAATTGTGAGAGTGGAACAAAAAGAAGAGAAACCAAGCCTTGGAAGTCCCACCTAAGCCAGATAAGTCAACACTAGGTCCTTGCCTTGAGGAAATAGAGAAGTTCATCTTCGTCACAATCTGGTCGTTTGCAAGACATATTCAAATACTGGATGAAAACAGGCCAAGTGAATACCCACCTTTGCTAATAGTCTCATAGCAGATCACACACACTCTGGCTTCCTTCTCTAAATAGGGCAGCTTACACTTCCTGTTACAACAGACACCACAGAATACCTGTAAAGAGCAGAACACCATTTGTATCTGTGTCAAGCGCACGACTTAGAACAATACTAGTAACGCCAACCCTAACTAACTGAAGCCCCTTTTCTCTGCAATTTGCAGTAGTGCCTCAGTTGATGAACACTTTAATTTGTAAATAATTTTGTTTGCAAAAAGAAGCATTTAGAAAAATAGTTTTTAATCTGCAAACTCTTTATCAGGTAACAAACATGACTGCAGCCATCTTTCGCACACAAACACAAATGTGGCCATCTTTTCCAAAATCATGGCACAAATTAAGCTTATCAGTGGAGGTACCAGTGTATTTTCCTAATCACCATAAGTGAAATTCCAAAATGATTTTCACTTAAATGTGACTCTGTGACTTATAACCATATCTCTGATAATAATTTTTTAAAAATTCTGTCCATTAAAAAGAGAAAAAAACTTCCAGTCTGTAAGTTTGATAATGTAAAGTTTTCTATAGTTTTTATTTAAACCTTTTATGAGTATTATTTTGCTAAAGATGAGAATGAGCTTAACCGACATACTAGCAAAAAATGCTTGAATACAGAGGGCACCCTCAAGTTTACAGACAACCTCGACCTCCACTGACTGTTGGAAGGCAGTCGGCCAGGGGGAGGCGGGTGTCCAAGCCTGAACCCACATAGGGGCAGCATTCATGTCAGCCATGCCAATATGACAGAGTGAGGATAGCATTCTAGATTTCACAAAACATAATAGTAAGCATTCCTCACTTTCTAGCACGTAACAAATACCCATGATAATATAACATTTGCCCAACTATCAAATAACCTGTGAAGTGGTAGTGCTGTACTGACTTCCAGGATGACTACGAGGTGAAAAACGATGATTTTAAACACAGTTATGTCATCTTCTGTTCATCAGTCTTTCTTGTCACTAGATTTCATTAAAAATGCCTCGAAGACTAAAGAGTTGGGCTGGGAATGTACCCCAGTAGTACAGAGCTTTTCTACTATGTGTGAGGCCCTAGGTCTGACCCCCAGCACCAAAAATAAAAGATAACGATTTTTAAAACTCACTTTCCCACATGCTCGGCAGTGATGTCGCCTTTTTGTAAAAGTAAATTTGACTTGGCAATTCATACAGTTTGGAGCTTCTGAATCAGGAACCCAAGTAGGTTGTTTCTGGCCCAAAACCAAGCCTTCTTTGCAAGTGTTTTCAGGCAGAGAATCTTCACTTGGAATTAAAAAACTGGACCCACTTTCAAAGTTGCTTTCTAAATCAATGTAGTTAGAGTTGAAGCTGGCCTGAGCATCCCTTGCAGGGTCGGCAGGACACAGGGTTGGCATAATGGCATTTCCCAGGCTGGGCTCACCTTCTGGCACGGCAGGAGCACCTGGCTTATTACTCAGTTCCTTTGACACCCTTGCTCGTGGCGCAAGGCTACTGAATTGCTTAGGTCTTGCGCCTCCAACATGCGCAGACTGGCTGCTAACATCACAGACCGGTAGCTCATTTGTCGTCTCAGACTTGCTGGTAAGTTCAATGGGAATTTTGCTTTTTTCTGGTATAGAAAGGGCCATTTCTGTTGTATTCTGTTTATCAACTGTTTCACAAATCACATTAATACTATCACTTCCTCCAGTGGCTCCTGCTTCAGCACTGAAATAAATATCACTGACAGTTCCATCACCGAGGCCTTTCAGGTCTATCGGATTCATCTGAGATTTTGATTCATTTACATTTTCTTCAAAAGATGTTAGGTTAGAGGTCTGAAGGTACTGCTCTGTCAAGAAGGCATCGAGCTCAGCATCACTAATGAGTGTGCTGCTCTTCATCCCTTCATCAATATTGAAGTAGTCTAAGTCATGGCCATCCAGGTCACTGCCTGAGAAAGTGAGACCAGCACAACTGGCAGGACAGCCTGGGGTACCCGTCCCTCGGGGTTCCAGCTGAGGTTCTGCAGATGTAGAGGAATGGTTGGGACCAAGGCCACTCAAAGCTACAGGTCTGACTCCCATCTGCTCAGATTGTACCTTTCCTTCCCCCCTCTCTTCGTAGACTGGCTGAACAAGTGTATTTTTACATTTTTCCTCTTTTGTAAGATCAGTATGATTGACTGGCTCCCTGTCTAGAACAACACTTTTCTGTGTTTCTTCATGCACCATCCCTGTATCTTGTATATGATCCCTGGGTTCCTGCTGAGGTAAGCAATCACCATGTGCTTTGCTTTCAGTGAATGAGCTGCACAAAGAGCCAGGTACTGGAAGACAGGACAAAGCAGAGGGTACATCTTCACTGGAAACATGTAGAGCTGACAAGGAACTGTGGATTGCATCATTATCTCTGAAGTCTAAATTTCTTGAGTCTTCTTTTGCAGATGGTCTTATCAACACAGGAGTTCTATCTTCCTGATAGGAATAGTCAGGTAATTTGACATCTTCACCTTTTGAGTTTGAATCACTTAGGCACAAACTTTCACTTTTTGGAAGACTTGTACAAGACAAAGCATCTGTGCTGCCTCCTTCTTTTGAACATTCAGCGGCAGCTGCTACTGTCATATCCACTTCATCTTTCACCAAATCTACTTTTGGTTTCACCAAACAGTCATCATCTTTTAATAATTCACAAGGCAAGCTCTCGTGTTGTAGGTTATCTTTGGTATCATAAATTCTGGAACTCTGCTGAGTCAAAACAGAGGTTATGTTAGAGTCAACAACTGGGTCTAAATGACTAGAGATCTTTTCATCCTTTAAATTTTCTGTTCCACCATATTTATAAGAGTCTGAAAGTATCGCATCTACTTTTATACCCAATTCTTTGGTACCAATTTCTCTATTCTCTAGCTTAGAGCTGACATCATTCTGCTCTTCTGTGACAGGACCACTCCCGTGGTCTGCTGGTGGGACAGAGACAGTATCCGAAACTGCAGAGGAATCCAATCCAGTCAAAGAGTCTGAACTACATGTGAAGTCATCTGGCAGTAATTGCTTAATATCTTCTTCGCTATTGGTTGGATGAACCAAGTTACCCATGTCACTTATGAGATCGCAGACCGGCTTACTGCATCGCATATAGGAGGGCTGAGTGTCATCTGAAGCACTACCATCCACGGAAGAAAGGAGATCCAGTCCTGTGACATTTTTCTCATTTTGCAGAGATGTTAGTCCCTCGAGGGCTTTCTCGCTGAGGGAAATCTCATTTGCTTCACAGCACGTTTCTGAGGACGCGGAACTGTGAGCACACTGCCGGTCCTTTGGTAGCAGCGAAGCTGGCTGTGAAGAAGCCAGCTCTGAAGAAACTGCGCACTTGCTGGAATCATATGCATTCTGAACACCTTGGAGATAATCCTGTTCATCTAGGTGAAAACACAGAAATGAAGTTATTCAGGATGCCCAAAGCAAACAAAAATTTTTCAAGATAGCATATTGCTAAGACTTCTAAACTAAATAAACTTTCTTTGGCTTTAAAGTATTGTATTTTCTGCTTTTTACTCTTGCATATAGATGTCATAAAGGGTTAGAAATTCCACTTATCACTCAGTTGCACTATAAATCCAGTCTAAGAAGAGCTGGCAACTGTTTTGTTCTGCTCGTTTCCTTGTCTTTACATGAAGAAAATTATCATCTCTTAAATTCAATTCATGCCATGATTTAAGGTTAGGTTGGTTTGGAGGTCCTTGCTATAGCTAAACTTGTATCTGCAAAGCAACTTATAGTTCCTTGACTTCTACTGTTGGCTCCAGGCTTCTTTCTGTATGAGAATAAACTAATAGGTTATATAACAACACAGGAGGACTTTTTTCAGAAGATGACAATGTGACCAAAACAGAAGTCAAATTTTGCTAACAGCACTCTATACTGGGATAAGTGAATTACAGATATTTAAAAATTCTAGTAGAGACAAAAGAGGAAAAGCAGCAAACCTGGGTTCTGTTCAAAGTCATCAAGGAGTCTGTCCAAGTCACTGACAGCTGCTTTAAAATAACTGTCCATCCTATCTTTAGATTTACTCAGAATTCAATTTTTGAATGTCTGGAAAACAAAAAGTATATTTTGCTTAGTTCTCTAAAATATATTATGCCATCTTTTGCATGCTAGGAAACATAGGAAATAGAAAAAATCATATTTAACAGCACTTCTTTGAGCAGCCTACAATTTAGGCAGAAGACCTCTATCTGTGGAAAACAATAATAACACTTCCATGTGTAAGTATTATAAATTTCAAAGCACTTATATAAATAATTCATGGATCAAAGAATTCACAATGAAAAGCTGAAAATACTTATAAATACCACGTCAAGTAATACAAAGCATACTGCATACAAATAAAGATACTACACAGAACACTAAAAGTTTTATGAAAAGCCAAATAAAGTGCATGAATCTTTTGCCAGAGACCCTGGGCAGAAATTTCTCGGTGATTAACGGGGCAAATCAAAAGGACAAAGAGGCCAGGTTTAATGGACTCTCACTTACTTGACAGGACAGCTGAACATCAAACTAGCAAAAATCACAAAAAAGCTGAAATCAAACTGATTTTTAAAAGACTCAAACTCTACACCAGAAAGCTGAAGAGTCCAAGGTGGAAGACAGAGAGTCGGCGCTAGAAGCCAAGAGATGACATCAGAGCTCACAGCGGAGGAAATGGAACCCTCTGTCTTTCCTCATTTCCTTTTTATATCTTCACAGGGTGGGGAATTGCTGAGCCAATGTAATTAAACTACTAAGCTTCTCAAGTTGATAGAATCAGTATCTGTATATTCAAAATAGGATAGATATACAGCTATATTCTCTTAATTCAATGAATAGAAAGGTTTGTTCTAATAGTGTTTGTAAACAGGATATCATGTCTGCATCTTCTACAATGAATAACCACTAAGACAACAATATGCAATGTATTAATTATTGAAACTGTCCTACTGATCAGATTTGAAACTGTCTCATTGTTATTTGTTTCTCAATAAAATTATTGAAAAAAAAAGTAGGGGGGCCAGGGAGATGGCTCAGTGGAATAAGCGCTTCCCTGGCAAGCGCAAGGGCCTGAGTTCAATCCCCAGTTCTGGAAAAAAAAAAAAAAAGTTGACAGAATCAACCACTACAGTCTACCTCAGTCAACATGACAACCAGACATATTTCTTTAAACCAGTCTCCAGATACAATGACATGCATATAATCGCTTCTAACATGTTATTACTATCCGGCAAACCAACAGAAATACACTAATTCCCTTAGCAAAATAGAAGGTAAATTGTCTTTATTTGACGCTTATACTTAATCATTTCATAATGTCAACATTAACTCAGGTTTAATAATCCTTAAGAACAGACATTAAGTCTATTAATATTGTATTAGAAACATAGGGGAAAAATAGTACAATATTTTATTCATTTTTGGATACAAGGTCTTGCTACACAGTGATCTACCTGCCTCAGCCTCTCCAGCACTGGGATTACAGGCATGTGCTGGCATGGCATGACCAGGGCTGGCATGGCATGCAGTACCAGGAATCAAACTCAGGACCCAGCACTTGCCAGGAAGGTGCTTATGCTGCCAAGCTATGTCCTCAGCCCAGATGGTACAATTTTAATCCTCTTTTCTGTAGCTGATCACATGGTCATAACGTATTTAGCATTACCTTCTTCAGGGCCAGCAAGATAGCTCAGCGGATCAAGCACCTGCTTAGGCAAGCACAGGGACCAGGATTTGATCCCAGGCACCACATGCAGCACCAGCCTGCCCCCAGGTGTGGAGGCACATGCCTGTAATCCCAGCACTGAGAAGGCTGAAAACAGGATGATCACTACAAGTCTGAGCTGCATAGTGAGACTCTGTACCAAATACATTAAAAAAAAAAGAAAGAAAGAAAGAAAAGAAAAGAATGAACTAGGGCTTGTGAGATGGCTCAGTGGTCTAAAGTAACTACTTAGAACAAGCTTAGCAAAGCCCAGGGACCACGGTGCAATCCCCCAGCCCCACATGCCAGCCAGTCAGCCCCCTGGTGGGCTGAGCTGCCCCCCCCCACATAAATAAATAAAATTAAAAAAAAAAAAAAAAGAATGAACTACCTTCTTCTACCACCCATTCTGTATTCCCTTGTCTGTCAGCAAGCACTCTGGAAGGTCTTGGTTCATTTCCTGGTGGAGTGACCCATTCCTCCATTCCTGAAGGCACCGGACCATTTGTCATTGTGCTTCTATTAGGTTGTTGTACTTTCTCATTAACTTTATTTTATTTATTTATTTATTGGTGGAACTGGAAATTGAACTCAGGCCCCTGCACTTGCCAAGGAAGCGCTTATTCCACAGAGCCATCTCCCCAGCCCCCATTGACTTTTTTATTTTATTTTATTTTTTTGGGTGGAACCAGGGATTGAACTCAGGCCCCTGCGCTTGCCAGGGAAGCGCTTATCCCACTGAGCCATCTCCCCGGCTCCCACTGACTTTAATAACAAGGTGTGGCAATACTAAGAGAGGCCTAAGGGATCTCCTGCACCCTATGCATATTCTTCCTTTCCTCTGTTGGGTAGTAATCCAATTTCCCCTTGATAGTCTGCGTTAGTCACCTCTGACAACACTGTAACTCCCTTCTTAGCTTGTTTCCTCAGATGTATCTAGGCCCCTCCTTCCCCAGAGGGATCTAAGGCCCCTACTCTCACTGGTGGGTCACAATGGTGTTTTGGAACCCCTGGAATCAGTGTCAGTTCAGAATCAGAGTCCAGGAGTCCCCAGAATGTCTGACTATTCCATGGGAACACTGTGGCTAATCAGCCAATGCCATAGGTCTGTGAAAGCCAGATTATTCTGGACACTATTGTGCTTCTGCTATTCATTAAAATCGGGGACCCTGTCTTTGACAATTTAGTGCTGCCACTTTGACCTCTGCTACTCTAGGATCCAATCAAGCCCACAGCCCTTAAACTTCCTAAGTGAGTAATTGTGGTCTCCACAGTAAGGTCTGGCATACTGAGAAGAGCAATGACAGGACTTTTCAGGGATGCTGGTGCTCCCCTCACAAATCTGTTTCTCAAGGTGTTAGTGAAGGGTACATTTTCTGGATCATTCCAATGTGGAGGATTAGGCTTAATGTGACAGACCCACTCTAGCATCCCCATTTCCCTTAGCCTCTGAATCCCCTCATCAATAGTAAACGATGAAAAAGCAAGCATCTTTAATTCCTTCACAATGGGCCATCTTTTGACTTCTGCCAACCAGCCAAATAAACTATTAAAACCTTTCTTTACTCCACGAGCTGCAACATTAAATTCGGAATCCCTACTTAATGAGCCCATATCAATGAACTCAGCCTGGTCCAGGTGTATGCTTTTGCTACCATTACTCATAAAATCCATTCCTATGCTTATAAGAGTTAGAAAACCCAAGAAGATCTTTGGGAGAATAACGGATCTCCTCATGGATCACGTCATTCATATACCTCCCCCTTAGGAATCTTATGCAATTTAAGCTTTGTTATGGGCCTACAGGCAAAAATGGGTGGTGAGGATGGGTCCTGAGGAGTCTCAGCATTATCCCAGCTGTTCAACATAGGATTAGGTTCTCCAGATATATGAGGAGACAGTAACACTGCAGGACTACAGGAGGTGAAGGTGATGATGTCTCTGCCACAGTGCATGGGAAAATATCTTCCTCTGGGAAAATAATCTCACCAACATCTAGGAACTCAACATCCTCAGCCTCCTCAGGATCCTCCCACACATCTCCATCCAGTTCATGGGATCCCATTCTTTTCCCATCAGCATCTTCACTGTTGCTTCAGATATCCTTCCAGGCTGTGCATCGAATTTAGGTTGCAGTTCAGCCAATCAAAATACGAGGAACTGTATTTGGGTTTTTGCAAGCTCAGCCTTGTGGCTACAAGAGCAGATTTTCTTTCAGGACACACTTAGAAACTTCTGAATTTCTTATTTTTGTCTGGAGATGGAAACTAGAATCATTGACCTTCTTATTTTCCTTCACAAGTTTGTCCAGTGAGGCTAAGACCAACCAGCCAGCATCATTGTATTTCCTACTCTGCCAAAGAAATTCAAAATTTCCATGTACAGAATCACTAAATTCCTGACATCTCACAAGTGGTGAATTAGGATAATCAAATGGATCTACATGACATATTAATTTAAATAGCTCACACCAAGGAGTATCAGTATACTCCACAGGATCAGGAGACCATGGTGTCTTTACATCTCATCAAATCATGAAGCGAATTCGAGGAGCCCCCTAAAACTATTTTTAAAATGCCATAATTACATTGTTTCTCTAGAGCCACTCCCAGTACCAAAATGTGTACAAATCAGGGTTTTACTAGCAGAATAGACATAACACAAGATGTACAAATGTATAAGAAACTACAAGATGGGTTTATGATGGTCAGCTGCAGAGTCGGATGAGGAAGTGTGCAGAGAGCGAGTGCACACTGGAGCCTGGAATCAGTCCAAAGTCTAGAGCTCACTGCAGTGTTCCGTGCAAGTCTGCGTCAGAAGGCCGATGGGTCTGTGATGGAAGGCTGAGGAGTCTACACTGGAAAGTTGAAGGGTCAAAGGCGGAAGCCCAAGAGTCTGCAGTAGAAGCCAGGAGATGACATCCAAGACCAGAGTGCCTCCGAAGAAAATGGACCCCTCTGTCCTTCCTCATTTCCTTTTTCTATCCTTTAGGTGATGAGCCACCCTGGAGTGGTTCCTCTGCACCCTGGGTGTGGAGCTACTGAGCCAATTCAGTTAAGCCTCTAAACTTCCCAAGTTGACACAATCTATCAAACATTACACTGCATGTCTGCAGGAAATTCAAGCACAGACACGTTAAATAAGCTAAAAGGAAAATAACTGGTTATAGTAATCCAGAAGTTGGAAAATTCCACAGCACAGCTCTTCATTCTGGGAAATGGAAATGACTAGGGTGGAAGAGAGACTTTAAATATAGGTTAAAGAAATCTGACAGACTTAGGAGAGAATTGAGCCAACTGCGAGACTTTCTGAAGAAAGTTCCAACAATGAAGAGATACAAACAAGACAGCTAAGAGAG